AACCGGGTTCCCACCTAAAACAACAACAGGAATTGCAACGCGGAAATATGCAACCAAAAAAAGCAACAGCAGAAACAACAACGAGAAGATGCAATGTGGTACGAGTTTTGTGGGCCTTTCGTGCAGATATTACCAGTTTTGCAAATGCCACACAAAATTTCGAGTTCGAGTTTTCCCAGCTGCCACAGCAACAACAGCACAACAATCTTGCAGATTTTCCGCATTGCAGTTGCGCCGACGCCGGCGTCGACTGCATGGGGGCCGCCTAACACCGTTTCTTGTGCTTGTGCATGCAATACGCGTTTAATAAACAATTAATCGCCATGCAATAAACAACGGACAGTGAAGCAACGCGCACCAGTAACAGCAACAGCATAGATATATGAATATTAAATATTACATTACTTCGCTTCGGTCATGTTACGGTGTTGCATAATCATTTACAAGCCGAGCTTCGGTTTTTGAGAGCTTGCGTGCTTCTTGACGGGTCTTCTTTTGTGCCCGAAACAACCTGTTAGCGGTTGGGGCTTGCTCTCTTCCCCTCTTTTGAGTGTGTTTGCCTCACGAAAGTAGTATTAACGAGTGTGCAAAGTTGTGTGAGTGAGTGTGCCAGAATATTTCGTAAAGTGAATTCAGTTTTTGCAGAGAAAGAGCTATCTCTCGCTCCCACATGCATGAAATCAGTGCTGATCCGTTGCTCTCCGTTCTACTCTCTTTAATAGTGTGCTGCTCTTTCCACCTGTGGGCAATTATCGCCGCTATCTCATCCATCAAACATGTGAGAACTACAAACACCAGTACGATCTATTCACATTCTCGGTGGGGCAAGGGCCGCAGCGACGCACAGTACTGTGTTTTCGCAATCAGCTCCTTGATCCACACGGATTTGACGCGTGAGTAGACTTTTTGTGGCAAACGGCGCAGAGCAGTGAACTTGAAACTAAGAAATATAATAAATTGACAGACGAAAGCAGCAGCTGAATCAGCCAATCAAAAGTTGGAGGAGCAACGGGTATAACGGCAAAAGCAGCAACAGCATCAGCGGTAGTAGCGCCAACAGGAGAAGTACCGTAACTGAGCCCTGTAAAATGGGCGTGAAGAAGCATATCAGCGACACACCTTGTAAGTACCGCTACATCAATTTTAGGTGGATGCCATTTTCGGGTATGCATTTAGCAAGCTGCCAAAATGTTTGCAAATACACAAGAAAATACGAATTAAATACCTAGCGTAGGCGAAACAAAGAAAGCAACAGAAAAATTAATCATTCTGACGCTATGACGACGCAGGGTATACCCTTTAACTTGTCGAGCACAGCGGTTAATAAAATGTACTAGATAATATCAATAATTAATCACTCAAATTACTTATAGAAATATGTTCGTTAGCTTTAGTTCCCGTCTAAATAGTTTGCTTGGTTGCCCAACAAAACAATGCTACTTTTCCTCCAGCTAGGGTATACCAATTAAATATTTAACTAAAAATAAACAAATGCCAGCCAAACAACGTCGACGGCGACGCAGTGCGAAGGCAGCGCAGCGGGTCACGCAGCTCATTCAAGGTCGCCCTCTCTCAAGTGGATTTTTGGTGCTGTTGCATCATTAGCAGAAAGACGCTCGCTCAGCTGAGCGGCTGGTTGCGCACGCTCACTTGTTGCCGTTGCTCTCCCTCTCCTCTTCCTCGCTCGCTTGCTCTAGTGTTGACATTCACGAAGCTGAGCGCACAGATAGAGAGAGGGAAAATTGGGTCAGCATTGGTGGATTTAGTTTTTAATTTATTGTATGCCAAATTCGTTGCTTCACCTTTGGGTTTTTATGATTTTTTGTTTTGCCAACTCTTCTGCTTTCCTCACTCATCCTCTGAATGTATCTTATCTCTCTTTCTATCTTCACTGATCCTCTCTTCTCTGTTGCAGTAAGCAAATCAAACTCTGTGGACTTGTATAGACCGCCAGCGCTCAGGAAGAACAGCAGCAGCGAAGAGACAGCTGCATCAAACGAAACGCCAGCAGAGACAGCTGTATTAACAGCAATATCGAATTCCACTTCCAAAGACTCACCGAGCAGGTAGATATCTCACAGTCAAACCTTTTTGTTACTTGGATCATTATATCGAAGTCTCACTGTACATTTGACGAAATTCTTTTGTATACACTAATCGATTACCCTTCATTTTATTTCCTCTGTTTTGGCTTGCTGCTTTGCAGAGAGCAACAGTCCACTCGTCGTGAACGCCGCCCCGACCGTGCTGTATATGTGCCAAGGGCACGACGCAGCCAAACTACACCACCGACAAGCAGCAGCTCAGCGACAGCGTCAGCAGCAGCAACTACAACGGCAACGACGCCAAGCGCATTGCCAGTTGAAGCAGCGCCGCCAGTTGCAGAAGCAAAAGTAAACCCGTCCAAACCAGACGACGGCAACGGTCAGCAAAAACTCACGAAAAAACCCAAGTCGCATCGGGAGCGTAAGGAACGCAGCAAGAAATTGATATCGTCAACGGAAAAAACCACGCAAACAGAGTCGTCGGAGACTGCTACGGTGCTTGTGATAGCAGGCAGCGAGGGGACTGAGGCGAGAACTGAAAACGAAACGAACCAAGACAGCACCGGCAACAGTGATAAAGAGGTGAGTGTTGCAAGAATGGAGTAGAAGTCTCAGCTAACAATTGAAAACACGCAGATCATGAGCAGCGGCCACCGTACAAAGACCGGGAGTGGCTACAAGACCAACAGCAATGGAAAACAGCAACCGCCGCCATTGCGAATCGAGGATGTGGCGGCATCCAGGACCAGCAATGCAGAGGAAGCTGCCAAATGTGATAATGATGTGCGCGAGCTGCAGCGAGCCTCGAAGGTAAGTGAATCCATGAGTAAAATTAGAGCACCTCTTATAGTATGTTATCTCTCGCTTTGTACAGGAAATCAATCGCAGCAATCGACGCATCATGAAACAAACCTTCGTGTCGGATGTGCTGGAGATACCCGAGAAGATCGATTTGGCACCCAAGCTGGCGGCCAATCGGGCAACAGCTACAGCAAAACCACCTGGCGACAGCACCACCGAAGATGATGATGAGGAGGAAGAGGATGACTGGGAGAATATGTTCGATGAGAGCGGCGACTGCCTGGATCCGAAAATTCTCCAAGAACTGAACGATTCTGTGGGCAAGTGCAAAATAGAGCTGCCCAAGATGGACTACACCGTGAGTAGAGTAGAGAAAAATCTATGCCGGAATCGATTTCGATGCTAAAACGTAATTTCTTTTGACCCCCGTCAGGTGTTCCATATCAAACAGTCCCTGCTTAACGAAGAGGAGTTCCCGCACGTGCTGGAGGTGTCCAATTTTCCGGTGGAATTCAAAACGCCCGACCTACTCATGCTCTTCTCCCAGTACAAAGGCAGTGGATTTGATATCAAATGGGTGGACGATACCCACGCTTTGGCTGTGTTTAGCAGTTCCCGCATTGGTGCGTACTCGCAATCCATTCAAAATTCGGTGTATCTAACAATCCATTCATTCTTTGCACAGCTGCTGAGGTGTTGACAATGGGACATCCGTTTGTGAAATTAAAGCCACTGGGCGAGGCCACACTCGAATCGCGACTGAAGGCCAAGAAGGCTGGAGCAGTCTCACTGCAACCATATCGCCAGCGTCCGGAAACCTGCACGGCCTTGGCCCGACGTCTAGTATCCGGGGCCTTGGGTGTAAAACTGGCCACTGCGCCGGAGGAGCGTGAGAACGAGAGGCGTGTTCTACGTGAAGCCAAAGGTGGGTTTCCACATTAACAATAGACCGCCGAGTGCAGTTCTCATTGAATCGGTGTTTCTTTTATTGCAGAACGTAAACTTTTAGCTGCAAAACAGCGTGACGAGGTCTGGGAGAGCTAGGCCTGGGTGCTGTAAAGCACATTGCATTTTTTCTCACATGCGCAACGCATGCCCCAATCAGAAATAAGAGTAACAAACACTTCAAAGCCAGCAAGCATCCAACCAACAACACCAACCATAACTCCCACAAAAAGTTTCTCAATCAAAAGCTAGCAATATTAGAGAGTAATTTCGACATGCTCAGCTATAATGTACTTTAAATTGTCGCTTTTTGTGCAATTAATGCAAATATTTGCTCAATTTTTTGTAGTTTTAGTGTGTGTGCCCATAATGCATGATAAATCTATCGACTAGATCGTAAGAGAGATACATATATTATTATATATTTATTGGTCGTAGCAAGTAACAAATGCATAGACACGTGTGGCGCTGTTTCAACTCCAGGCGCAGCAATTTATATAAATATATTTTAATAAAGTTTATAAATCGTAAGTAAAATAAAAAACAATTCAATTATTTTATTTGCAATTAATCACTATTTTGGTGCCGTTACATACGAATGCACGTGTCGAATATACTCCTCTACTGGGTACGAAACCACAAGCATCGACAGTGTTGTAAAACGCCGCGAACCAGAAGCAGCAACAAGCCGGCATTCAGTAGATCGGAATATTAAATTATAATATTTAAACAGGAAACAACTGCGTGTGGTGTGTGAGTTTATTGTCAAACAAAAGTATTATTACAGAATATATAATGTACTGATAAACAGGAAGAGTGAGTGTAGCAGTTACATGGATATGTTCGCTTTCGTTGCGGCTGAGACTTTGTTTCATTCAAGTACACACACACTGACAACCATAAAATATATTGCCATCCCATTGGATTGATAAGCATTGAATTGTGCTTATCATTACGGAAGCAGTACGTACCAACAACAAGTGAACGGGTTGGCTTTTGGCTCTCCCGAAGAAGAACTAGACCTTATTGAAAGAGAAATACATCGAAATTTTGACTGCGTGGCTGCCAACTGTTTGGCTGTGTATGTGTGTGGGTGTATATGTGCGAACGGTTTGTGGGTATTTGCCAGCGGGAAGGGGCGTCGCGTGCTTGGTTAATGGTAAAATCAACCGAAACTAATCAAGCATACGTACGCGTATTTCATTTCAGAGAAGTTTGCGAGCGAGTGCAACATGTACAAGTACCTGGCCGTCCTACTGCTGGCCGCTGCTGTCGTTCAGGCCGCCAAGCCTGAGGATGGCGAATCCTGCTACTCCTTCGCCGGTGGCTCTGTGTATCCCGCAGAGGAGCCAAAGGGTGATCATCAGCTGCAGTACACCAAGGCAGTCAGTAAGTGGTGGAAGCTTCAATGGTTATTTTCATATTTCATTATTTTCTCTTCCCTCACAACAGTTTCGAAGCCAGCTCCTGCTTTCGAGGGCACTGCTGTGGTGAACAAGGAGATTGTGAAGCTATCGCTCTCCCAGTACCTGGGCAAATACGTAGTCCTGCTCTTCTATCCATTGGATTTGTAAGTAGAACACAGCTAGAACCCATTTGATATGCAAACCTCACCGATTTGTGTTCCCTCCCCCAGCACTTTTGTGTGTCCCACGGAAATCATTGCCTTCTCGGATCGCATTGCGGAGTTCCGCAAGATCAAGACCGAGGTGATTGCGGCCAGCGTGGACTCTCACTTCACTCACCTCGCCTGGATCAACACGCCACGTAAGGAGGGCGGCCTGGGCGACGTTAAGATTCCGCTGCTGTCCGATTTGACGCACAAAATTAGCAAGGACTATGGCGTCTATCTGGAGTCGAGTGGTCATGCGTTGCGCGGTCTCTTTATAATTGATCAGGCGGGCGTGCTTCGTCAGATCACAATGAACGATCTGCCCGTGGGCCGCTCGGTGGATGAGACCATACGACTGGTGCAGGCTTTCCAGTACACCGATACCCACGGCGAGGTTTGTCCAGCTGGTTGGCGACCAGGCGCCGATACGGTAAGCGTACATAAACTTCTCTTAGACATCTGATTGACTGTGGGGTTCTCTTTTCTTTGCAGATTGTGCCCAATCCAGAGGAGAAGACCAAGTACTTTGCTAAGAATAATTGAGTGTAGATCAACGTTCAAGATCTCTTCATTCCTTCCAACCATGCCCGAGCCCAGTTACATTCCGAATGTTCACGACTGACCACCGCAATCATCGAACAATAGACAGTCCCACACCTGCCCAAGCGTCTCGCGAGTCCTCTGTACATATGGCAACGGCTCAGCCCGCGTTTTGTTCTTTTGTATAAAACATATTTTGTTTATTTTACAGATTCATACAGCATAACTGAGAGATAAATAAAATGATGAAGTACATAAGTTATATGCAATAAGTAATAATGTGTGTGTGCGTGTGTGTGTGTCGAAATTATAAACTTTACAAAAATGTCATATATCTGGGGGTATAGCCAGAGTTATTCTCTGTTAACAATTCGATTTCCATTTGATTCTTATAAAAATATTCGTTAATATTCAATTCGTGTTGTTTGTGTGTCAGGTTAACCATTTAGTTAGGTACACAATTGTTGCTGTTATTAAGTAGATATTCCTGCTATGCTCCAATAATATATTATACAATATATATATAAATAGAGGGCAACCGTGGAGGGGTACAACTAGGACGTCATAAGGCACTGGATCTCATATTTTTGTTCGTGTGTTTGTTTCAGTGTGTGTTTTGTGCGATTTAAATGCCAACGGCAGCGACGACTCATCGGCAATGTGCGCGAAAGATTTAACATATTCCATTTCAAAGAAAGAGGAGAGATTCCAAAGATTTCCGGTTGGGGGAGATTCCAAGTTGTTGAAAGAATTGCACTGTTCGAATTCTCAGAAAATGCGGTTGGCTTTGCGTTTAAGTAAAGTGTAAATAAGATAAAAAAACCCTAAATGCTATGACGATGCAACGCGTCTAAACCACTAAGCAGTCGGCAAATATTATGTGTGTGTGTGTGAAGGCTTATTGCTCGTAGTAAACCACATCCTAAAATGAACAAAAAGGACAAAATAAAGATAAGAATTAACCAAAAGTTATCCTTGCCTCACTTACAATCAAAAAGAGTGCTGCGAAGATGAGCGCCTTCATGCGCACATCCAGATTCAGGGGGAACGTGACGCTAAAGTAGTCCGCATCGGTGAACAGCTCTCGGCCCAGGCCCGACCATTGCTTGCTTATCTTGCCGATCTCCTCGTTATTGGCGCTCAATACCTACGCAGTAAAAATTACAATAATTATTAAGGCGTAAGATATTTTATGTTCAGCATTAATCGGGCATTCGCACAGGCACACAGACACTAAACACACCCACACTGCTGCAGTAAATATCTGAATTAATTGAGTCTCTCTCGCTCGCGTACTGTCAGGCATGTCGCTATGACGTCACAATGGCCCTGACGGCAGTGTCTGCAGCCCGATATGTACATGTATATACCGAACTATATATAGTGTGTGCCTGTGTGCGTGTGTATAACCACTTGTTGGTTGGGCGGCATACACTAACCTTGAAATTGGTATCACTGAAACATTTGCAGGGGCAGACGGGGCCCTCGATTTGCAGGACAATATCGCCAAACGAGTTCTTAATGTTGAATTTTGGTCGTAGGAAAGTGCAGACCTGTTCCACTGTTCCAATAACCTGTCCCGGCGGCGCCGATACCTCCACAGCGTTCAGGCAGTCGGGAAAGCAGCAGAGCACATCGCAGCGAAACGGACGGTTCAGGTGCAGCACCTCGTTCTGAAAGTTGTCCAGTATTTTCATCTCAAAGGGTCTCGATCGGCCCAGCATGTTGCGGGTGCAGCAGTCACTCTCCTCGTACGCAAAATAAACATTCTGGCCCAGCGAATTCTTAATCTTGAAGCGGTTCTTCGTCTCGAAGCCGGTGAGCAGCTCTAGCTTTTCGATTTTCTGCGACACCAGCAATTGATCCAACGCCGTCAGATATTCGAGTCCTTGGGGACAGTTGGGCATGCCCACGGGTATTGACATCCAGTTCTCTGTAATGTGACATAGTATTCTTGATTAGCCATACGCATTAGACACTAGCATCAATTGCCAAAAACAGAAAAGCAACATTTTTTTGCTAGCACACGCCCAAACACACAAACGAACAGCACAAATCTTTGTATGTATTGTGGCCATACGCATAGTTCATGGGAAGGAAATAACGATATGCACGCACCAGGTCCACTTGGTATCCTGACAGCATCTGCAGACGTGGGCTGTCGCACCACAGTATCATCCTGAGGCACATCCTGGGGCACCTCCTTATACTCTTTCATTTGCATCATATTTTTGCTGTTGTCGGCTATCAAACAATTTTTTGAGAATTCGAGCCAGTGTGACCATTAACTTATGGATAAAGTATGCCGCCTCACCCTCAGAGTCTGATTTACTATCGTCCACTATCGATGGTGCCCATTATCGATAGTACTCCACCTGTATTAGTGATTAGGTGATTTCATGGGTATTGACGATGTTTATGTGCACGCTATCGATACTAGTAGAGCAGTTGCAAGATGTGTGACGTAGAGAGGGTATCCATGTGCGGACGTTTAGTCCTGGCGGGTGGTTGTGGGGACGGTGACCTTTGAACTGAACGGGTTCTTACTTCTTTCTAGATAAAACTTGATGATATCCAAGTATTACTCTGTGGCATTGGCCAGCAACTATTACCTCCTGCTTGTACGGGTAATCGCTAGGATCATCCCACACCTGAGCATGCCAAGATTCTCGAGGATATGTGCCTGACCTTGGGCCATGCCATCAACGCCTTTGACTTGCTCCATCATCAAGTAGGAACGTAGAGTCCAAATGACACATATATAGAAATTACTTCAGCCAGAATCAGTTATCAGCTATCAAGTCTACGCCTTTCTCCACAGTATTTTGTTGATAAGAAGGAAAGACTCATCGCTTCACTTGGAAGCCAAGAAGGTAACTCACTCACACCTGCGCACACAGCACACCCATAAATGGAAGTTACTTCTGTTTTCGATCAGTTATCAATGGCAGAGAACGTGACTCTTTTTCTATGGATTAAGTACCCGATTTTGGGTTTTTTGTTTATTGTTCAGAGGGGAGGGGTTTACAATATAGACACTTAACGATTTTCTTTCTTTTTTTGTGGGAGGAGTCACTTGGTTTGGTTATTTGTAAATAGTATAACTTTTTTTTGTTTGTTTTTGGGTGTTCACAAGAGTTGCAATTGCAGTTTTTATTACATAACTTGATGTTGTTTTGGCGCGCTAAAAGTAAAGCTTAAAATGTAATCATAAATTGTGGTTTATTTGTTTTGTATCAAACAATTAAATCTTAAACGAAATACTTAATAAAAAAGATCGCATGAAACAATGTGTGTGTGTGTGGGGGTTGTATATGTGTGGGGTATGTGTGTGAGCGGGTGTCGGATCGCGACCAGGGATACCTGCAGTCTCACACACACGATACCAACGCCAGCTCAACGGCAGCCAAATTAGGATACGATATACAAACTGTAAATGGAATAAAGGTGCACCCTGGGATTAGTGTTATTATTCCCACACTGTAGGACAATACTCACTTATTAATCAACTCATCGAACGCAATTTGAGCCCGCTCTCGAAATGATTTTACGTCGATTGACAGCATCTCCCCACGTTTACTTGTTGTTGATGGACAAGCGCTCGACGCTGGCCAGTAGCTCGTCGGCCGTTTGGGAGACAACCTGCTCCTGATCGTCGCTGGTGCTTAGGTTCTGCAATCGCTTCTCGAGGGCCGAGAGGTCCTCCAACTCGCGCTGCTGCTTCACCATGTAGCGCAAGATCAGCGTTGTCAGCATGCACATGTCCTCGAGGATCTTGGCATGCTCAGGTGTGGGATGATCGTAGCGATTGCGCAGCAGTCGCAGCCTTGCCTCGGCCAGCTCCAGCGGCGATTTGTGGCTGCGGTCGTACATGTGCACACTGGCCCCGCCCTGCAACAGGACGCCCACCACCACATTGAAGTTGTTCGAACTGGCCGAGATGACGGCCAGATGGAGGGGCGTGTTGCCCAGGGAGTCGACCACATTGGGATTGGCGCCGTATTTGAGCAGCTGCTCGACAATCGGTATGTAGCCCCGGCAGGCGGCCAAGTGCAGCGGACTCCGATTGTACTCGTCGGCGGCATTCGGATTGGCCCCCGCCTCCAGCAGGCGGTTGAGCCACTCAACGTTGCAGGTGGAAGCGGCGGTGCGCAGTCGTCGCCCGTTCGACTGGGCCAATATGTTGTTGTAGCTGCAGTACGTCTTCAGGCGCTGCATTCGCGGGCGCATCTTGAAGCTCTTACTGCTTGAGGGGAGGGTGCTCGGGTGTATCAGGCTCGGCAGATAGTCGGAGTTGGCGTTCAGCGGTAGTGGGGGCAAGTGTGGCAGCGCAAAGTGCTCCCCTCGGTCTCTGCTCAGCTGGAATGCGTTCGGATTGAGGTTGGGCCACTCGCCGTGTGTGTTTGGCGATGATGTGGGTGTGGGCGGCATCACTGGCGGCGGAGTTATCATAATGCCCTTTGAGGCTGTGGGCATGCTCATGGGCATGGGCATGGGCATTTCGACCTCCTCGCGGGCCGTCTCCACGCCGGAGGAGTCACTGTTGGTGGCCGCGGCCATTTCCGATCTGTGTGCGTCCGTTGCGTTGCCGTGCGTCACAATTGTTGCGTTTGTTAACCGAATATTTTCTGCTTTTGCACGCGCCTGATTATTTTTCTGTCTGTATTGTTTGTATTTTTCTCTATTTTTTTCCTGTTTACATTTTGCCCACTATCGATACAAGTATCGATGTGTCATCCGAAGAGTTCGCGTGTATTTCATATCGATGGACACGTAGGTGTCGCCAGCCCTGGTTAGTTGTTTTTCTCTGCGAGGGTAGGCATGGACGCATACCCTGTACTTATATATACTTGGCACATGTATTACTAAATAATCACATCATCTAAGGTATCACACACAGAAACTCCCAAGTTCTGGCAGTCCGCTGTTGGCTAGTCTGAGTCAGCAAACCAGTTTAAACACTTAAAAAGTTGTATTTAAAATTCGTGCTCAATTACATATGAATTTACAAATAAAGCGCCACGGAATGTTTTCCCATCAAAGTACTTTGCAGCTCACAATTCAATTGGAGCAGATGATGATAGAGGGTAATGCGTGGAGATGTACATACAGTAAACGGGCAATAATACAAAAGTAAAAGGTTTCGAAACTAATTTAAATAAAAACACATTTCCACTTGGATTCTACCAATAACACAACATTCAAAGCGTATTTTGTTGGGCTAGTCCTGGAGTTAAAGCCTCGTCGATGAAGCGAAACCAACGGAATCAGCATTATTGTACCGTTACTTGTCCAGAACAGTGTTGGGTAAGACAACACACAAGTTCTTTGGTTGGGCGGGCGGAGTGTTTGGTGAGTGTGTGTTAATGTATGGGGATGTGAGATGTGGGGCGTGGATTTAGACCGCGAACTAGTGCTAGAACGCAAAAAAGGGACTCGAAACATGCATACATTACAATACAATACACAGAGAGAACAGTGGAAACAGTTTGGAAACACATATCTAGCCATCTCTAGAGGTGGGACTGTGCGGTCTAAATCCGTCTTGCGCGCTATTTCAGGAAGTTAATCATCTCAATGATCTTGTTGCGGTTGGCGTGCATGTAGGCCTTGGTGTGCCACAGCATGTTGATCAGCTTCTGGTCATCCTTCTCATCCATGGCAATGTCCTCGCTCAGCTGTGGATTGAACCGGAAGTAGGGTATGCCAATGGTACTGCACCAGGCGCGGGCACGATCCACCACACGTCCATCGGAGCAGGTGGCTTGGTCCACAAGTAGATTGCCTAAACGAATGAATTTCCGCTTGAAAACCGAATCAAATCAGTGGAAGATCTCTCCTTACCAATTGTGGATATTCCATAGGCCAGCTTGGCGGTGTCCCAAATGCTCTCCGGCCGGAACACATCGATGTCTTTGAGCTCGGTGACGGGTATGTGGCCGGTGCCGAGTGAAACCACCGCAGAAACGGGTATGGCCTCCGCCTCACGGCCCGAGCTGCGCAACGCCATGTTGTATTCGTGTATTTCGGTCATGGCATCCAGCGTGGGATTGTTGGCAATGAGACCGCCATCCAGGAAGCGTCCGAAAGCGCGGAAATACGATGGAGCAGCGCCAGTAGCGCGCGCCGCGCGCCACACCAGCTGCTCGTGCGGCGGAGGCGGTGGAATGCGACGATTGGCTGGGGATGGAAGTGGGAATATATATTTCTGATTGACAAAAATCCTTTGGATTCTACTCACTTATGGATGTGACTATGCCCAGGATATCGCTGGCACTGGTATAGTTGCGGAAGAGATGCAAATCGACGGGCTTGCGGTCCGCCATCACACCGGTGACCATAATCTTTGGATGCTTGATGTCTGTCATAACATTGAACTCGCCGAGATTATCCTTAAGGATGGTCTCGAAGTATTCACTGGCGTAGGGCCGAGAGCCCACGAAGCACTGCTCCTTCATGCGCAGATAGAGGCCCATGCACTGGCGCATTGTCTTGCCACAGCCCAGACCCAGCGCAAGAATGCCGCCCGTGCTCGTGCCGGCAATCCAGTCGAACATGTGTATGATGGGTGTGCGCGAGAGCTTCTCGATTTCGAGCAGCATTTGTACCAACACCAGGCCACGTATGCCGCCGCCATCCAGGCAGAGTAGACGTCCGCGTCCATAGGGTTTATCGCCCACCTCCGCAGCAATGGGCGACGTCGGTGATGGCAGCTGCTCCGGGCTGGAGGCTGGTGTGGCCGCTTTGTTGGCCAAACTGCCCGATGATGCGTCTTTCTTCAGCTCGTCGGCATTTACTTTGGTCGTGAACATGCCCAGCAGAGCGTCCATGATGCTCTGACCCTTAAGTTCCTTCTCCGTATCGACCACCACGGGCACCCTGAAGAGTGGAATAATAAGAATTATGCGAGCTGCACATTAAAGTTCCATTTACGCGAAGACTTACTGTGGTGGCGGCATCTGTTTTTCCATCAATCCATTGGCTGCTGCGCCCAGGAAATTGCCAACCATTTGACGGCTGGTGGTGGCCAGCATATTCTCGATATGTTCACGCTGCTCCACCGATTCGGGCGCCTCTGGCGGTATGCCGTTGTACGTGCCCTTGGCATTGCAGCCGGGCGGACACTTGGAGCCAGTTTCGGTGCAGCGTTTAGCGCCCACCGAATGGAGGATGTAGAGTATCTCGTCCTCCTTGTTGCCACTCGCATCGTTGCCCACCATGTGCCGTGGGGTTTTGCCATCCTTATTCTTCAGATTGATGTCGCAGCCAAACACCACCAGACACTGGACAATCGGCACCAGCTTCTTCTCGATGGCAATGTGCAGCGCCGAGTTGCCCTCTTTGTCGAGCACATCGATGTCTGCATCATGGGCGAGCAGCGTGACGACGCACTCGAAGCGATTTCTGGCCACCATCACGTGCAGGGCCGTGCGACCATCAAAGTTGGTGGAGTTGACGTCGCAGCCCTCCATGATGAGGGCGTGGAGGGTTTCGCGTGAGGAGCACCAGTGCAGCGGTGTGCCGCCATACTTCATGTCCTGTGTGTAGAGCTTGCTGGCGTTGGTGCGCAAAAACGATGCCACTGAGGTGGGTGTCGATGTCTTGTGCAGCTTGGTAATGTTTTTGGCATTCAAATTAACATCGGCGCCGGCCAGCAGCAGCGCCTTCACACACTCCGGCTTGTCCGTGACGCAGGCCACATGCAGCGGCGTGTACCCATCCGAATTGAGGTGATTGAGGTTCACGGTGCTCTTGTCAGTGAGGAGCTGTGGGCAGATTTTTGTTGAAGTGATGGCAACGATTGGGTTGGCTGCTGCTACTCACATTGATGATCTCCTTGGTGGTGCTGGCTCCGTAGTGGAACACCGAATTGCTGTTGATGTCCAAGTGCTCCAATTTGCTCAGCGGCAGCAATGCCTTGACCATTTCCATGTGACCCTGCTTGATGGCCAGCTGAAAGGGCGACACGAGGGAGGTGTGATCGGCCGTGTCCACGCACTGTAGCACTTTGGGATTGCTAATGTATTCGACCAGATTGAAGTAGGCCACCAGATGGGCGAGTGTCCACGAGGGATTCTCCGTAAGTACATCGCAGGTCTTCTGCAGGCCATTGACATTGTAGAACTAGGAAGCAAATGACAGAAAAATCAATTAAAATCGAAGCATCTTGCAGTGGAAAATCCTCCTCCCACCTCCTTGACTATGCTGACAAACATTGGCAGACGTTGATAGAATGCATAGTACTTCTCCTCGGCCTCCTGCTGCTGCGGCGAGCGGTACAGACTGAAGGACGAGGTGTTCGAGTCCGAGGTGGGACGCTGCAGCACAATCTCGTAAACGGGTCGCTTGTCGCTGCTGTTGTAGGGCGGCGCAAAGAGCATCATGGCATCATCGCGATGCAGCACCTGGAGCGTGCCCAGGGATTCGCTTTTTATTTCCAAAACCTTGTTCGGCGGCTGATCACCGCCCAGCAGGCGCTGAAGAACTGTTGCAAAAGATAGTTTAAGATTAGTTAAGGGAAAGATTTAGAGAGGAGTTAGACAATCCACAAGCTACACAATCATTCAAGCTACACACGATCTAGAGACAATGAAAGTGAACATTTAATGGGCGCCAAAATACCAAAGCCGGAGGCAATCGCTCCAAAGGCCATCCACGACATGGTTCTAGAATTTCCTCTGAGTCACTCTCGGATGCTGCTTGAACTTTGAATCTGTTCGCTTGTGTGAGCGATTGTGCTTGTAGATTATTTTGAATGTGATTGTGAATGCGATGAACCTGACATGACAGAGAGATATTTGGCCAATTGTTAGTTTACATGTGTGCAAATGCGGGGGGGGGGGGGGGGGGGGGGGGGTGGTGTTGGGGTTTGTGGGCCAAGAAATCAATAATAGAACAGCCGACGACCCCTCGTCAGTTGTCTCACAGCAGCGTCAGGCCATCAAGCATCAGGC